CCCAAGAACCTCCACAGCAACATGAATCAATTACACTCAGAAAGGGAAAGAGGACCATTAGACAACCTGCTCGTTATGATGATATGGTCTCTTTTGCATCACCAATTGCAATTGATGACGTTCCTGCCACTTTTAATGAAGCAGTTCAAAGTTCAGAACATAAAAAGTGGAGGATCGCCATGAATGAAGAAATGCAATCCCTTCAAAAGAATCAGATGTGGAAACTAGCTAGTCTTCCGAAGGGAAAGAAGGCAATTGGGTGCAAGTGGGTATATGCAAAGAAAGATGGATTTCTTGACAAGAATAACATCCGCTACAAAGCAAGATTGGTGGCTAAAGGCTACGCTCAAACGGAGGGAGTTGATTATAATGAAGTATTTTCTCCAGTTGTAAAACATTCCTCCATCAGAATTTTGTTGGCTTTGGTAGCATAGTTGGATTTGGAACTAGTTCAGATAGATGTAAAAACTGCATTTTTACATGGAGACTTGGATGAGGAGATCTACATGACTCAGCCAGATGGATTCAAAGTTGCTAAAAAAGAAGAGATGGTTTGCAAATTAGAAAAATCGTTGTACGGATTGAAGCAATCTCCAAGGCAGTGGTACAAGCGATTTGACAAGTTTATGATAGGGCAGAAGTACACAAGAAGCAAATATGATCATTGTGTGTATTTACGCGAGCTAGAAGACGGATCCTATATATATCTTCTTCTTTATGTTGATGATATGTTGATAGCTTCCAGGAGTCAGACAAAAATTGCGAAACTAAAGACTCAATTGAACAGGGAGTTTGAGATGAAGGATCTTGGTGAAGCGTAGAAGATTCTAGGCATGGAGATATCAAGGGATAAGAAATTGAGGAGGCTTTGTTTGTCTTAGAAAGAATATCTGAGGAAGGTACTAAAACGTTTTGGCATAAATGATATGTCAAAACCAGTTAGTACACCTCTTGCTCCTCATTTCAAGCTCGGTGCATCAATGTCACCTAAGGATGATGCAGAACGGGAATACATGTCAGAATCCGTATGCAAGTGTTGTTGGTAGCTTGATGTATGCAATGGTGTGTACGAGACCTGATATTTCACAGGCAGTTGGGGTTGTGAGCATGTATATGCATGATCCTGGAAAGGAGCATTGGCAAGCTGTGAAATGGATTCTGCGGTATATTCTGAACACCGTAGATGTTGGTTTGGTCTTTCAGCAGGACAAACAAGACGGTCAATGTGTAGTTGGGTATTGTGATTCAGACTATGCATGTGATTTGGACAAGCGTCGATCAACTACTGGTTATGTGTTTACATTTGCAAAGGCACCAGTCAGTTGGAAGTCCACCTTACAGTCAACAGTGGCTTTGTCTACTACAGAGGCAGAGTATATGGTAGCTACAGAGGCTGTGAAAGAGGCAATTTGGCTTCAAGGGTTGCTTGGTGAATTGGGAATGGAACAAAAGCACATCAAAGTGCACTATGACAGTCAGAGTGCTATTCATTTAGCAAAGAACCAGGTTTACCATGCAAGGACGAAGCACATTGATGTTCGATATCACTTTGTACGAGAGATTCTAAAAGAAGGTGGAGTCATAATCCAGAAGATTCGGACCACTGAGAATCCTGCTGATATGTTGACAAAAGTGGTAACTGCGGTCAAGTTTAAACATTGTTTAGACTTGGTCAATATTGTTACAAATTAAAAGATTGTTTTTTAGAGATGTGTGTGGAATTTGCCAAGGTGGAAATTTATTGGCTTTTGGCAAAGTCCCACATTGGTTGTGTATAAGGAGGAGGGGAAATTCTTTTGTTATAAATAAAGCCATCCTCCTCCTTAGTTAATCATCCCACAAATATAAGTCTTCTTCTATATTAAAGGCTATTTGTATTCTTTCTCTCTTTGTAATATTTCCTCTATTAGTGAAATATTTTGGTGTTCTCTTTTATGTCTATTTAATATCTATTGTCGGGTATAGTTGTTGTTAATTATTGTCCTATTAAAATTACTTGTCTTGATAGTTCTGTCTAAGGAAAGTGGGTTTTAAGAGGGACCATTGTGACCTCTCCTCTTTCCTGGGAATATACCTTGGGGTGATTTTTAGTACAATCGTTTTCACACTAGTCACCTAGATAATAGTTTCGAAGGTGAATCTATTATTGGTGGAAATTAACCCGAATTACACAACATATGTGTCCACAATGACGGAGCTATATGTAGAAGCTTAGGGGGCCACTGTCCCTATTTTTTATCATTAAGGAATATAGAGAGGATTACTTATTTAATCCTTTAAATTTTGATTTATTTTAATTTTATCTTTTTTTATTGTTAATTACACTTTGTTCTTTAAATTAAAATTCTGGTGTCGTCCAGTGTGTCTTCCCTAAATAAAATTTTTGTCACGAGTAAAAAAATGTTATACGGTATACTTAAGACAAAAACAAAAACCAGTTCAATGAAAGACTTATGGCATGCTTCTAGTGGCGAGTTGCAGAATAATGCAGGGCCATGAGATGATGGCTACTCTGGAATTACATATTGAAAAATAGAACGAGGCAAATTAAACAACAAAATGCCAGATGGATATGATGCAACTTTAAATGAAAAAAATCTTGTGGAATCTAGTACGGCATGTAACTTATGGAAGTCAATGAAAATGAATAAAAGTGTTTTGCCATGTAACTTGAATCACTGAAATTAACATCACACATGCAGCTTTAGAGGCCACTAATTAAAATTATGAAAAACCGCGCATGAATATAAATATAGACTAATACTAATTACCAGAGTTTTAAATAGCGGTTTGCGATCGCGATAGCGCTCGCGAAATAGAAATAATGAGAGTGTTACCTTCCGATATACAAGCTATGGCCGCAATAGCAGTAAATGAGACATAACCGAAAATGTGACCGTAATTTGAATCTCCGCTAGTTACCCAATTTATAGAATTACAACTTTAATATATACTTAAACGAGATTGCAACAATTAGAAAAAAGAAACAGCTCAGCATATTCTTCTACAAATATTAGGGCCTTCTCCAAAATATGTTGGAGCCCCATCAACATCTTCCCTTGCAAGTAAAATTGGTCTGTGTAAGATTGTAGATCTCACACATCGTGAACCAGTTGACTTTGAAGTTGAGATTATATAATGTGTTATTTAAATATATATTGCTAAAAGAAGTAAAATTTATATCTTGATCTAATGGTTGAGCTATATTCTTAGATTTTGGGTTCAAACCCTTTAAAAATCACATTCTTAATTGATGAGCGTGTGATACCATAAATGATTATTCTGAAATAAAATAAAATGTTAAACAAAGAAAATAGTACACAGTATATAAAGATCAACATCAACAACCAAAGTGTTATTGTGGCATAAAAGGTATCATAGACTTGACTTGACCAATGCGATTCCTCCGGTTAACCATACTATCATCATTTTTACTCGATCTTGCTTTATCTCTCTTCTTCTAACTCTGGAATAAGCCTATGGTTTTGTACACGGGGATTGATACCTTATCTATTCAAAATACAATTAAAACGTTTATGATGGCCATCGTTAAGCAAGCGTATCTAGTGTATTGGTATCATAGTACCAACCCACGGTACTGACCGAAAGGAGTTTCAATATCCTATGAAAAAGCCTACCCTTTTTGCCCAACTCAGTTCTGTGATTTCTTGAAATAAACTCACAAGAATGTGCTGAACCTGCAATACATAGCGGGGTTTGATGGTTTATTAAGGTGGGGAACAAGATGGCTTTAACCTTGAATGCTGTGGTGCTTTATGCATGTAATCATTCGGGGTTTAGGCGTTTCGCAGATACATATGGCAAAATATCCAGTTGCTTATTTGTCATTATGCATGTAAAATTGATCTCTTGGCACTTAAGGATGATGGTCTCAGGACCTGCCTTTTGAGCTTTGGCGAGGTCCATGTGGATCATTGCTTGCTGCTTGTACAATACATGCAAATTTGGACTGCTTCCATGTAGAGTTGGAGCCAGCTAACAGTTACTTTATTGTGCTGTCCGATTTGCTGATATGAGAAAAAGTGAGCGTTTTGATGAAACATGGGATTAAAATCCATGTTGGGTCTTAGGGTTTCCCTAGGCTCATTTTCCTAGACAAGAAAAATAATGGATTCCCAGCCTGAGAACAAACTCAAATTTCAAGATTTTTCTCTGAGCCGTTGGATGGAAGCAATTTACTGCAGTTGTGGTTAATTTTTTTTTTTTGACATTATGGATGTGGTCCAACCAACTAATTTCATAACGATCTCATAATAGCTTAGGTCAAGGTGGCAGCTGTTGGATTCAAACAAAATCAAGCTTCTTTGTGCACACTGCATAATGACAGAACCATTCTTTACACCAAGTGATTAGGGTTATTTAAAGGAAACCCACAAGCTCACCCTTTTCTACCACCTATGATTTTCTCATGCTCAAGTCGGTTTGTGGAAAAACTCTACAGCTTGATGAGCAAGAAATAGCTTTTATGGAATACTTTATTCATTAGACGAGCAACAATCAAAACACGTGGTTCCACAAGTGGCTGATCATGATATACATGTCTAATAAATACTTTCACTTAAAAACATAATTTTTTAAAATTAAAATTATTATTATATTAACCATTTCATCTAATATTTAATTGTTTACTAATTTTAATTAATTATCTAAATTATAACGTTTTTAAAAATGTGATCCTTTTATAACTTGACTGATACTAACAAATGGACTTGGAATGTATTTTACCCTTCATTTTTAAATTCATGAAGATGTATGGATAGCATCATGGGTTACGCCAGATCACCTCGAGAAAATTGCATCACAATCCCCAACATATATCAAACAAAATACCTCATAATTAGCAGTTCATACAGTCAAATATTGAGATCAGAAGAATCTTCTGCATCTTGTCTCAAGATATTACTGTAATAATCACATAACATAGTAAATAACAAGCACCAAATTTTGAAGAAAAAAAAATCATTACAATTTCAAAAACAAAACAAACCAACAACACCAAAACCAGATGGAATTTCATTAAAAAAACAAAAAACAAAAATTACGATCATCAGTTCCCATTCTCTCCAAAATTCATAGCCGAAGCCACCTTCTGGAAAGCAGGCCTGGAAGAAATATCTTCCCACCAAGCTTTAACGTGTGGGCGATCATTTATCAGATCAGCACAAGGAGTTTTCATGAAATAGTAAGTAAAAGACAAGTGGAACAAATCGGCCAAGCTGTAAAAATCACCAGCTAAGTACTTGGTTCGTCCGAGTTTGTCTTCATATGCGTCGAGTACTTTGCCGAGCTTCGCGGCGTTCTCGTCGATGATTGCTTGATCGGGGGATTTTCCCTGGAGAGGTGCGGCGAAGAACTGGAAAATAATCGGGGAAATCTCAGGGTGGTAGTGCTGGGATTCGACCTCCATCCACACTTTGACCTCGGCAGCTTCTTTAAAGCTTTGGTGCCTGATGAGATCGTTGCCGGTTTCCTTGAACTTTTCAGCAACATACTCTGAAATTGCTCTTGATTCTGATACATAAACACATACAAAACAATGCTCAACACAACTTCTTTTCTATTTGTATCATGAAGTGATAATAGTGACGGTGTACCCAAAAGACTGAGATCGCCATCATCTAGCACTGGAATCTGACCGAAGGGCTGCAATATCATAAAAAAGTTATGAAATACTTATAATGAATAGTCACGATGAAATTAAGGAATAATACTATGAATTTACATTCTTGGCTAAGAAAGGAAGTTGCTTGTGTTCACCGACGAAAAGGTCGACGGGGACGAGCTCGAAATCTGCTTCCTTCTCATGCAAGCAGGTCATTACACGAGAAGTGCAGGGGGACAAGGCAGCCCCATACAACTTGAGTGCCATTTGTTTTAAGAGTGAAAAGAGAAAGGAGACGAAGTAAGGAAGGAAGCTGGAAGAGATGAAGTGCGCATAAAAGGTTGGAGGCTGTACTTCTTTATATGATACAAAGTCTGCAATTGATGACTATCTTGCATTAGCCTCCATATATATATATATACGGTAAATTACATATTTAGTATCTAAACTATTTATTTTATTTTGTTTTAATATCTAAACTTTCATTTATTTTTTATTTTATTTTGGTACCTCACCATTAAAAATTTAAAGGAAATGTTACAACATGGTACTTTATTAGGGTAAATTACATCATTCTTCACTCAACTATGTTCTCACTCCTATTTTGATAACTGAAGTTTTTTTTTCTAATTTAATTACTTAACTTTTAAATCACTCCTAATTTAATCACTTTAATTTTAAAATTTATTTTTTAATTATATATTAATATAATAATAATAATAATAAATGTCACAAAATTATTAAAAAAATAAATGAGAGTTATTAAAACATGAGCAATTTGAAAGTTGAGTGGTTAAATTGAAATTTTTTTAACTTTAGTGACTAAAATAGGAATGAAAAATAATTAAGTGATAAATGATATAATTTAGCTATAGAAAAATACCTCGTGCATAAGTTCCTTTAAGTTTTTAATGATACGTACTAATATGAAATAGAAAATAAACGTCAAGTATGATTTTGAAATAAATGAAAGTTTAGGTACTCAAAAAAAATAAAATTAATAATTTAAGTACTAACCTTGTAATTTATCCATGTATATTTTTACGGACTCAAATTTTATTTTGAGAGTAGAATTATAAAATTTTGAAGTATAGGTTTATAAAATTTTAAAGTTGAAAATAAATTATAAATAAAAGTATTTGAATTATAAATAAAATAAAATTTTAAGGAACGACTTAATGTGAATTATGTAAAATTTTCATATATATATAGGTCATATATTTATGGGGAATTATTGCAAATTTTGAAGCACTTTGGGATACACTGAGTCACCTCGATGTATTGAATGCAATCTTCAAGATCTTGGTCAAATACCGTTTTTTAAAGTAATGAATAGACGAGTTGAAATTTGAAGAGATGAATTTACCCTTTAACAATACCTTTTATGATTTTAGTCCAAATATTACAAGGAGAAGAAAGTCTAATCTGACACAGTTAATTATTTGTTAATTAAAAGATTAGCATAATGACAGTGTGGTCAAACCACAGTTTTCAGTGCTACAAATAAAAAACCATGAAAATGGTGAAATGACAAAGCAAAGCATCGTCTTGAGATTTGTTTAGGGGTGTTCATTCGTTAAAATGATGACTGACCGAATCGAAATATCCTTAATTGAATTAATCTAAATTTTTTTTTTAACTTTTAACGGAATCAAATTTTTTTATGAAAGTATTAATCGAACCGAATAAATTTCGGTTGATTTTTTTTTAAAATTTCGAATTTAATATTTTTTAATTAAAAAAATTACAATATCTAATTAATTAAAATTGATTTGAGTTTTACATTTAGTTTTGAGATTATTTTAATTAATTTAAATTGATTTGAGTTTTAAATGAGTTTTAAATGGATTGGGCATTGGGTCGGCTGATGGGCTGAGTTATATAATTATATATTTATATTTAAAGGTTAATTCGGTTAAATAATCGATTTCGAACCGAATTAACCGTTAACCGAATATCAAAAAAATAGTTAACCGTTATCCGACCGAACTAATTCGTTAACCGACCGAATTAACCGAATTAATTCGATTCAATCGATTAATTCGGCTAAAACGAAATTTGAACACCCCTAGATTTGATTATGTTATTCCGACATTTATAAATACGAGGAGAATCCACAGCTTTCGGTTATCATCTATATCCAGAGCTGTAAAAATAATGATTTATTTCAGTTTTATTTAATGGTTAATACTTAAATTATACAAATCCAACTTGAGTTTAAATTTAATTCAAATTTTAATTAATTAAAACGAGTTACTTAATATTCAATTTTAAAAAAATTACTAGTAATTTTAAAAATATTGTTATATTAAAATTTTAAATTAAATTATTAATTTATTTATATTATTTCTACTAAAAATGAATACAATATAAGATTTTTATGTACTTAAACTCCAAGTTTGAATTTAAGTTTAAAATTAGACTAAACTAAAATTTAAACTTCAATCAAAATAAGTCTGAAAATATTTTCAATTTAATTTTTTAACTCAAATCAAGTTTTAATTTTTTTGGAATCGAATTTGAAAATTTTAGGTCAAAAATTTTTAAATTGAGTGAAACTTCAATTTTTTTAATTTAAAATTCGAATCAAATTTGATTAGTGCAACAAATTAAACGGGCCTACTGCCCAGTCACACTTTATTACCTAAAGTGGTAATATAAACGTGTAGAATCGTAAATTGGTTATGAAAAGGGAATTAAATTAAACAATGAAGAGTTGAAATTTATTTATGGGAGTGGGGGTGTTACGCCCAACTTTACAAAGCTAAAGTTTAGAATATTTACAAATTACATATTTTTATACGAAATAAACGCCACACATCAGAAAGCTGCCTCGGGTTTCAGAAAGTTGTGATATTCCAGCTGCGTCATTTCCCCACCATTCACCGGGTCGAATTGGCATCGGTAGAAGCTTCATCAATAATCCCACCATTCAGTCGCCTTTTATCTCATTCAACAATATAACAAACTAAAACGAAAGCAATAAATGCAATAACACACATACAGACACAAGATTTTATAATAGGGATGACCTTCTAAAATTTTAGGAGGGATAAACTTATAACATTTTAGGTAGAGCAAAAACAAAATATCAATAAAAAATACAAAAAAATCTAAAATATATGATCATTTGAAATTTTCAAATAAAATGACTACCACCCCTCTATCCATCCCTGCGAGATGGACAGGGTGGGAAAGCATAGGAAAAGAGTGTCAAAGTCCTCTGAGAATATGCCGATGAAATTTCACACACATGATGGTATTCTATCAACAATTTACTCTAGGAAAGTGGATCATCAACAACTAACGTGTCAAAATCATTGACTAATTTACCAAGCATGTTTACTAAAGTACATACTTCTAAGCTGCCCTAAAAGTCAAGAATAGTTGCTACAACCAATTTTTAATAATCCCTGTTAGTAAGTATTTCATTTTTCTTACCTTCCATCAATACCAAGAATTACCACCGTATGCTTTTGGTGACCAAAAGCAACAATGTACTGAGAACCTTCAACCAGGCGGAACTGGGCCACTGACCACTCTGAGCTGAAGTACTTGGGTAACACACCTGCAAGCAGAAAGCCAATTTTAGACGCTGTGCAAGTCAGCTCCCAAAAATCCAAAAAGAAAATTTGTATAAAAATGCATAATTTCTAATATATATCTATATCTATATATATATATATGACATAATCTAGTTAGTTGTCACATTCCATTAAGCGTGAGTATCTTTGCTGGTAACTCTCTTATAAGCAAAAAAACCACAGTAAAGATGCTCATCATCTCACTTGAATTTTGAAGACATTATCTTAAATGCCAATTGACTAGCAGTGACAGAAGACACTAACTTGTTACACAAAGATTAGAATGCTAATTCCTCAGCCGGGTCATCATCATCATCCAACTAAAATATGTAATTATGTTTTTCGTGCAAAGGTCACAATAACCTCAGAAACCAGAAAGAGGAAGGTGTAAGGCGTAAGGGGCAATTGACAATGATTTTTTGTCCATGATATATTCTATTCCGTTGCAAGAAAAATATTGATAAGAAAATCCATTGGATTTGGACCATCTAATGCTAGGAAAAGGAAATCAAATACAATTGTTTGAAGATTCACAGTATGAAACAATGACAACAGCAAAAGGGGGAACTTTACCCTTGATAAAAGAAAGAGACGAATGCGGTGAAGTAACAGGTTCGGACACATTTTGTGACATGTCAATACTCAGAGATCCACCATTAATCTTAAGGCTGAAAACATGAACTGTGCCCTTGTCACTTGAAACTGCTAACCACTGGGCATTTGAAGAGAACGCCAGACTATAAATTTCAGCTCTATCTGCACCCCTCCTTACCTATTAATATATACAAGAATACTTTCAGAATGCCAGCAAAGTTTTTGAATCCAAGTAAATGGGATAATCATTCCCGAATCCAAATGCAACCCATAAATGTAAAAACCACTACAGGCATTAAAATTTTCAAATATCTTCCACCAACTACATACAGAAAATAAAAACAAAATGAATATTTCTCAACACTCATAACACGTTACATGATAGCTTAGTAGAAAGCCATGAAACAGCAGGATTACTTCAATACAAACTTAATTATGATCCCGTTATATATCTCAATGGTAAAGTGAATGTTGTTCTCCCTAAAGTATAGGTTCCAAGTTCGAGCGCCTGCATCTATGGGATGGGTGTGCGTGTCAATTGGCTAAAAATATTTCAAACAGGTATTACCTTGTACTTAAACCTTAATAAAAAATTAAAATCCAAATTTGCCTTATTCAGCTCCAAAATAGCGTTAATAGTATTAAAAGGTATACCTCTTGCAGCAAGCTACCATCAACAGTATTATAAATTCGAACCAGCGTCCCTTTCGTGCTAGCGGTAGCAAGCACCTGCCCATCCTGCGAGAGTGCAAAGCACGCAATTCTCGAATCATGAGCCATAATAAACTTAGTCCTCTTCGAGGCGTAATGCTCAACCCTAACTTGTCCCTTCTGTAATCCAGGACAAACCAAAACCAAGGACCCAGACCCCTGAGAGACAGCGCAGAGTCCCTTTGGATTCGCGATAGTCTCAATCTGGTGCAAAAGCTTCAAATCAGCAAAATTATAGACGAATATCTTTTGTTCCAAAACGACTACTATTCTATCTCTCCGGAGCCGAACCGATCTCACTTCAGAACGGAACGAAAGCTCCCCGATGCATCGGCTCTGGTGGTCATCCCAGATCATAACTTTAGTCGGCGGGTATTGCGGGTCGGGTCCACCGCCAACGAGAGCCAAAATATTACACCGAAAAAGCATCTCCACGACTCCAATACCGCCCCCGCGATCAAAATCCCGGCGAAAGATTTCTCGGAATGGATCGCAATTGTAGATCCGGAAGCCATGGTCAATGCCGACGGCGAAGCAACCGTGGTCCTGGTTGAAGGAGAGGTGGAGAAGAGAGGGCGGCGTCGCAGAAAGAGAAATTGCGTCGGATGGAGTGCTGAAATTAGGGTTAGAATTCGAGGCGGGCATAGGGTTGGGGTCAGAAGAGGGGTGAGGCTCCATGCGGGGGAGGGATTCAGGGTCGGCCTCAGTTTGGTCTGTCGAGGGACGGAAATTAGGGTTAGGGTTTGGGGTTGGATAAGCTGAGAGGGTGGCCATGAAAGGATGTTTATAGGGAAGGCTAAAAAAGAAAACAAGAAACAAGAGCAAGGGGAAAGGAAACAGATGGACAGAGGAGACGAGAAGCGGTTGATTGTTTGACGATGTTTTCCTGTTGGTAATCGGAGGACAGCTGTTTTTGGATTGGAGACTTCGGAACATATAAAAAGAAAACTGTTCAAACAAATTCATACGCCATAAAACTTTAATTTTTATTATAACATTAATTATTGGCAATCTTACCCAAAAATCACTAAAAAAAATTGATTTGACACCTTTATACATTAATTTAGCTGCTCACTCTCTCGTACAGATTGCTCTTTCGATTCCTTTGTCTTTATTTTCTAGTTATGAACCACCTAAATGTATTGCAAATATTGTTGTTGTTGATGTCATTAGCGTCTAACTAATCAAATGGTTGTTTTATTTTTAAAAAAATAACATCCTTTTCGAGAGAAAATGGAGAGATGCGTTACAAGAAACACGCCTTATTAATGTGGCGTAAGCACACCCCTTATCCCTTTTTATTAGTTATGAAAATAAAAAAGTGATAAAGATAAATAATGACCTAATTTTATTTGATCTGATTGCAGTCCTCTTTGGCTTAAATGTATTTCCTTGATCTTCCACTAATTCATCGTCACATCCTTCAATCTAATCAAATTACCTCCATGTACATATAGAAGTCTTTTCATTTGGTTAGCCATAATCTCATAAATGATGACTTGTAAAGAAACATATATATATATATATATATATATATATATATAATTATCACATTTAAGGATTTATCCTTATTTATTTTCTCATTTTTCATTTTTCATTTTTTCAATTTTTGATTTTGATTTTTTTTAATTTTTAAAATAAATTTTAAATGAGAAACTTTGAAAATCACTTTCTCACTTTCAAATGTCATATGAAGACATCATGCTCAAAGGTCTTATATATGGTCCGAATGACTTATCACCTTATTCGAAAGACTTACAGATGACCTGAAGGATTTAAATCATCATGCTCGAAAGACTTATTGAAGGGCTTAATCATCAAGAAACCTTTGAAAATCAAACTTGGCTTCTTTAAAAATCCATTTGAAAACATCATATCGAACATGCCCCGATTCAAAGTAATGATTGTTCTGTGGATTGGGCTCCTCAATTATTAAGGTTCTACCCCTTTGATTGTAATTCCCTCCATTTAAGGCTTGAATTCTAATTTTCTCTTCTTTATATTCCTTTATTGGAATATCTGTAAAATTATGCATATATGTATGACAACATGAATGCATTTAAATGCACGTGGTTCTTGTATGCATAAATGTTGATCATCAATCTTCTTATGATTCTAAAATGAAGAACTCAATCTTTCTTCACTTGATCAACCTCGAATAGACCATGCCTTGACATCAATGTAGTAACTCAAGAAATTTAGGCTTGCATCTTCTGGGGAACAATCTGATCATTATATGTCATCAGGTCCTCTCTATCCCATGTCTTGAAGAATTGTTTTTTCTCTTGAATTCTAATTATGGCCAGGCATATGGTCTTAACGCCCTTTCTGTCACTAACTTAATTGCTCTCTATCAGAGCTGTTTCTTTCGGGTTGTTCTGCCAACTGAAGCATGAGTGATTTACTTTCTAACATAAGCTCTTATTGTTTTCATCTTTTTCCCCTAACACTCCAAGCGGTAAGGCTCACTTCTCACTGAGGCTATCGTCCACCTTTTGATGTTGACAACATCGCAAAGAAGTGTGAGAAGTGGGATCTTGAGTATCTTGACCTTTCAGGCTTTTTTGTTTGAAAAATCAAATAATGTCTTCATTTCTCTTGCATAACTTATTTTCCTTGCCTTGGTTTTTGCTTATTGTCACATTTCTTCGTTTGAGGCATAATGAGCCTCATCAGCTTCAATGACCTCCTTCTTTCTCTATAGATTGTTCTGTTTGGAAATATTCTTTTTATTTCATATATTTTTATAATTTATAAGAATAAAAGAATTTTATAAAGTAAAATATTGCTTCTTTCTTCAGGCTCACAATTGAAACAAAACAATAGTTCAATAAATATCAAGTAAATCATGAATTTTATCTTATTTAAAAAAATCATAGCCTTTTGATAAGTGTTAAAATAAATGGGTTGACTTTAGGTTGTCTTCCTATTTTTCTAAAATTTCAATCATCAAGACATCATTCTTTCCTTAGTCTTCTCAATCATCATGACATGCCCTCTATCTCGGCTTAACATTCTAATTGGATACAGACAAAAATGTTACAACTAGCATATTCAATAACTAGACCTTTTAGAACACTTTTATTTTAATTCTCTGAAATCTTCCATTTGTTCAAGTTTCATAGACTCTTTCAACAGATGTAGTGTGGATATATTGGTCTAAAACCAAATTCCTGAGTGTTTTGAAATCGAATATAGCAAATGTTTCTCAACTCCCTTAGTTCACATTTTATTGAAACTCTTCTTAATTCACATTTACTTGGCCTTATTGCATTTCTTTAAATTATACTTTGTTAATTTTGGTGTTATTTTATTCACTTTGATTTTGCTGGAAAATTTATCTCGAGACATAGAGACTAGTGTCATGATCTAAATGTAAACCTATTCATAAAGCAGGGCTCTAAACATAGCCTATTACTTTAGTGGAATACCCATAATTAGAGGATTCAAGTGTTAGAAAGTCTTCAACTTGAAAACTCAAACGGAACTCATTTCATAAAGCTCGGACATTACCTCCATAGTTTCTTCGGACATTACCTCCATAATTTCTTCAGACATTACCTCCGAAGAGTAACAGGTTAATACTTTCAACGGAGTGCCCCCCAACAAAGTTAAAATTAGCTTTCATTATTTCCCTGAGTTTTTTATTTTAAGATTTCTTAAGCTCGTCATGAAGAATTTGTTATAGTTTGCGTGTTAGTGAAAGTTAGGAAATTTAATCTTTAGAGCTCAATTTCCAACCAACTGACCTAAACTAAGTTCATCTACTCCATCATTCCATATGAAAAGACTATAATCATCATCGAGCGTTTTAATATCCCAAAATCAGGGTTAGTGACTAAAATAGAATTTTTGAAACTTTGAAGTATGATTTTAAAAGATTGTAAAATATAGGGACTTATTTGTAAATATTTTGATGGATTGTTGGTAATTATTAAATGAAGTAAAGGGTAAAATGGTCATTTGACAAGGAAGATTTTTATTTCCCTTATAAGATAAGGAAACCATATGGGAAGAGGAAAAAAGGAAGTTCTAGAGTTCTCTTCATCTTTCTTCTTTCTCTCCATCGTGAACCAAGGTTGCAAAGGTAAGTCCTCTTGTTAGATAATTTCTTGTTGAATTCAAGGTTTGTTTATGATCAGTAGATGATAATTAAGCTTAAAAAAAGCTTAAATCATCTTAAAAGCAAAGGATAATGGAGTTAGGAGAGATTAAAGATTAAGAGTTTTCAAATGAAATCTTGGAATAGAGTTTATTACTCAAATTGGAAGATAAATTTGACTTGTCATCATCTTAATTAAGAGATATGAAGTGATAGAATTGAATTAAAAACATATTGAAAAATTGGTATGATTATTGATTTCCATATGTAGAAAGGAATTTTGAGATTTAAAGGGTGATAAAGGAGTAGAAATGAGTTTAAGTATGTATATGAGAGTTAAGAATATGGTAGAGGATGTAATATGAAGTGTTTAAGTAGAATTGGAGTGATTTTCGGGCTTAAAAATGAATTCTGGGCTATGTGCATCGATGCACATTCAATGTGTACCGATGCATTAAGGGTATTTCCAGAAATTGTTCAGTGTGTATCGATGCACAGGAAGTGCATCGATGCACCCATTAAAAATGGAAACATCGAATGCAATTAGTGCATCGATGTATAAGGAGTGCATCGATGCACCCCCTTAAAATTAAAACATCGAAGGTGATTTGTGTATCGATGCATGGGTAGTGTATCGATGCACATGTTAAAGAATGCATCGATACACTGTAGAATGTATCGATGCACTTCAAGGGAAAATAGAATTAGGTCTTTCTTTTGGTCTAAGAAATGATAGATTATAATACATCAATTATATACTGATATGTATCAATGTATAAACATGTAGATATCGAGCACGAACAAGTTCCGGGATGACCATCAAGTTAAGATTCGATCGGAAGAAAGGAAATCATAAAAGGGGATTAGAACTTAGTAAGACCAAGGTGAGTGCATACAAGTTAGTTTATGATGTTTAATGGAAATAAGACTTGCGACGAGTCTATTTCCTATATTAGAATGCATGAATTTATGATCATATGCATATGTTTGATTTGGGTATATGTGATATATATTACAATATGTATTAAATGATTTGTGTGAATACATGTATTGTGATAAGTTATAGAAATTAATATGAATGATCTATATGATTACATGGGAATGTGAAATATGTTATATGATAGGTTACCATACATGTTACATAGTATATGTGATCAATTATAAGAATCAATATAATAGATTTATATGACTACATGAGAAAGGTGATGGGTTAAATAAGATTAGACTATAGAGTAATATGAGAATAATATATTAGTAAAGGGAATTGAGTATAAATGATGATACTGAACCATAAGATAAGTATTTACTTATAGGATAATATGATATTATATGAATATATAGTATAACTTTATGAGGAAGAATTGGGTGTTATATGATTTAGGTATGGAAATAATCTATGTGTAAGTAAATTACGTGATTATGTGACTATGTGTGAAATGGAGTAAACTAGGTAATTATAAGGTATGTGAATATATGGTCATGGAACAAAGTATGTAATAATACAATGTTATTTGAATTACTTAACAATAAGTCATAAGATTACAAACATATGTAACGTAAGTTATAAAATAAGAAAATATGGGTTTACATGTATTTGCGGATATATATATATATATATATATATGAATAAGATATGATATATGTTTATGTAAAACCATGCAAAGTGATATGAGAAGGGAACTACATGATTATGTGATCATATAAGAATGAAATAAAGAGTCATGTGATATGTGACATGAGATATATGAAAGAGAAAGTATATGTGATAAGTGAAAGTGAATCATATGATTATATGAAGATGTTCT